CGCCCGCCCGCCGTCCCAGCGCCGCCCCCGCGGCCCCCGCGACCCCCGCCCAGAGGGGACCGGCCCCACCCCTGGCCTCGGGCAGGAAAGCCCTGCGGGCCGGAGCCGGTCCCCCACCGCCCTCGCCCCCGCCCGCGGTCGGCTGCGTCTGAAGGGCTGGTGCCCGGGCCTCGGGGTCACGAGAGCTGAAATCTAGACCCTGCACCTGCGATGCCAATGCTTAGGGACGAAGAAAAGCCTAACTGCCCCTTGACTTCCCGTTTCCACTTGGTGGTTTGCAAATTACTGCTTCTGCTGTGCCCCTCCCCCGAAGATCTCTTTATCTGGTGATGAGCCCTGCAGCAAAACTAAATCCAAATCATCCATAATCAAAAGGTTCAAAACTGGAAGTGCTGTTTGCAGTCTCTTTGACCCGAAGGCTTTAAAACATGGATCCAAGAATGATGGTGCAGGCCGTGTGCTGAGCCCGGTAAGTAACAGCCACGCACACGACACTTACGCAGACATGCGGCTGCAGGGCTGGTGAGTGTGCGCACCACTGGACAGGCATTAGCTCCCTGGATCCATACACACTATCAAGTGGGCTTGATCATGATCTCAGTTGTGCGGGTGAGTAAAATGAGAAACAGGATCATATCACCCTCCAAAGTCGCACAAGTAGGAACTCAGCTGAGAGGCAGCCAGGCCTGTCTGTGCTGCCCTTCGATGCACGCTCTGCCCTTTATGAACACACTTTATAAACAGAAAAGCACGGATATCAAATTTCGGGGCCGCATCCACAATGCTAATCCGAGTGATTAGTATGGCGTCACCTGGCCAGCTCCCTGACCTGTAGTGCTCTTTTCCCTCGGTGTGACACCTCTCCCTTAGAAGTGACACTTGGAAGAAACAAATGCCACATCATTTCTTTGACTTACAAAGACTTCTCAGCCTCCTACCATACATCTGAAATTTCCACAGAGTGATGACTCTTGTATGGTAGGGTTCATGTGTTGTTCTGTAATCAGTCACGGTTCAGTGGAGGGAACAGAGTTTGCTCTAGGTGTTTCAAGCAGAAAGGGATTTAATTTAGGGAAGAAGGTGCTTGTAAAATCAATGGAAGTGCTGGAGCATTGGGAGTCCGTGGGCGATGAAAGCAACAACTCACTCCTGGCAAAATAATACTGCTATCCTATCCCTCCTACAAAACTAAAAAGCACTCCCTAAAACAGGACACCAAAAGGCCCATCCGTCACTGTCGGCATCTCTAGTTCAGACACCACCTCATTTCAATATCCTAAAATCTAAAGAAAAGCATAAAGCTAACCTCTATCAGCCTTTATTTGACATACATAAAATCTGGAGAGAAGGAATATGGGAAAAGTTTATATGTTCACCACACACACACACACACACACACACACACACACAGACGCGCACACACACACAGACGCACACACACACACAGATGCGCACGCACACACAGACACGCGCGCGCACACACACACAGACACTTCAGTTCTCCTTTCTATAACTGATCTTGAGATCATAATTTCATTGGTCTTTATAGCTTCCTTCTTCACTACAGTCCCTGTCCTCCTTTTGCTCTCCAGCCTCAGCTGGTCAGAATTCTTTACCTGGTAAGTCAACCAAACCTTTATTCCCACTGAGCCTGAATCCTTAGTGGTCCTGCCTGGATGTGACAGTAGTAGGAGATGCCCCAGAGGATCCCTTGGATTTAAGACATAGTCCTTCCCAATCCCATGGTATAACAGTGACCCTGTTTCAACTTGGTAATCAATGTCAACCATCCAAGCCTGCTCAGGAGACCTGTGGTTCAGTGGCATAAAGAACCCTAAATGGCCAGATGGCAATGTCAACTTGCAATATGATGGAACCAGCGTTTGGGTCCTGGTTGAAGCATTCGTACCTTGGAAACCAACAGAGCTCCAAGCTGCTCCATGCTGGGAGTAGATGATTAGGTGTGATGGTGAGAGGAGTCCTTCCCACTTCTCGATTGTGGGCCCGTGGATTCTGGCTAAGGAGAAACAGCACCACATAGTGGCCACCAGTTCATCTCCCTCTTTCAGTGTCTTTTCACCCGCCTAGTGTAGGAAATGAGCCTTCACTAGACTGACCAGCACAGATCCTTTCAGGCCAGGGGTTTCAGGGCAATCTCTCAGTGTCAGCACATAGCACACGTCTTGTGTCTTATAGTGATTGCCTTGGTCGGAAGCACTGTTATGTGAAATATTGTGAAACTGAATGCAGGACAGTAAGTCTACAGGTGGCCATGCTAGCAGAAAGGTGGCCCGTGATAAGTACCTATTCAAGTGAGGGCAAATTGTGGCCCCTTCCGCACAGATGTGGTCTGATTTCATCAACCGTCACAAGGCGGTGGGCTCGTCCCCTAGGGAAGGCTACCTTATTGGGAACTAGGTGTGGGTCTCTGCTGTGGACAGGCAGAGTACTTAGCAGCGGCAGTGACAGTGGCCATGACCACATCAACTGATGGCAGTTCCTGGGAGGGGAACCTCACCCCTGCTGATTCCTTTAACCTCTGTAAACAATCTCCCCATTAGATTCTCCTCAGTTCAACCCATAGAGCCTCTCATTTGCTTCCTTCAGAGACCCTGATCAACAGACCTATGAGGTTACACGTGGGAGCCAAGGGA